TATCCAGACTTCAAGTCCAAAGTAGAAAATAATTTACTTCCAGCCAATGTGTCTAATGTGTCATCGATCCGAGGCAGAGGATAACTATCTTTCTTGGTAACGTTGTTCAGCAAACGGTAATCCACACAGAACCTCGTTGTTCCGTCTTTCTTCTTAACCAGGACCACCGGAGAGACCCATGGGCTCGTAGAAGGTTCTATCACCCCGTCTTTCTTCATTTCCTGAACAATCGTTTCAGCTTCCTCTCTTTTCGCCTGTGGTAATCGTCGAGCTGTTTGACGAATTGGCTTAGCATTACCAGTATCGATTTTATGCTTAACAACGGTAGTTCTTCCCGTCTTTCCTCCTTTCGGTACGAAAATATCACGATACTGCCGAAGAAATTCCCTTAATTTCCTTTTCTCGATCTGATTCAGAGACTGTCCAGCAACCGCAACCATTTGATCAAATTTATCGTTGGAATTATCAGACGTTGTCGTCTGACGGATTATGGATGTGACAGGTACACAAGTTCCTACTTTTGTCTCTTTCTTGATGGTCACTGGGTAGTCATTGACATTAATAAGTCTCACAGGAATTTCTTTAGCCGAAGTCACTAATTCTTTTCCAATTATGATTCCACGGCCAACTTCGTCGTCATGATTCCAAGGCTCCATCATAACAGGTGTTCCTTCGTCCACAATTCCCTGTAGCCGCGCCACTATTATCGTTTCACTTCTCGCAGGCACGACTGTATCTTCTTTAACGGCTGCTTGCATAGTGTTGTCATCATGTGGATGGAGAAATACCTCCTCGTTACCAACTTTGATTACCTTATTCTTAAAATCCAATTGGAATCCATGCGTATTCATTACGTCCATTCCTAATATAACATCCTCTTCGATGTCAGCAACTATAACAGTATGGACGAACTTTTATGCTCCAATTCCTAATTGTACCTGGATTTCTCCATGAATGTTGGCATTTTCACCTGTGGCGGTCCGAAGTCGCAACCTCGTTGGTAACAGTTTTTTTTGGCTGTTTATAACTGTCGGGCGAATAATGGTTCTTGTCGCTCCGATATCCACCAACAACGTATGCTTTTTACCATTTATTTCTCCATCTACATATACACTATCTTCACGACATTTCAAAGAAGCTATTAGTATGAGAGGGTCTTTGGAAAAGTTCTGGGTCGAAGCTGCCCCCCTAAGGCCGACCCGTTCTAGTTTTCCTGATGGTGAGTTTCTTGATTTGTGTCGTACCTAGGATGCTTACATGAACTTCGTACGTGTCCTATTTCGCCACAATTCCAGCATCTTATGGTCTTCGTCTTCTTGTATGTCATGCTTTTCATCATATTAACGAGCTGGTTTAGTTTATCTTCATCTTCTTCCTCTTTTGGAAGAAGATGAAGATAAACTAAACTGACTCGTATTCGAGGGCGGCGGATAAGACATCAACCAGCGTCTTGTGACGAGCTAATCGTAGTGTTCTTTGCATCTCATGATCACGAAGACCATCAATAAACGTTTGAACGGCCAACTTTTCCATCATGTCTTCGGGAGCTGTTGGATAAGCATATCGCACTAATCTGGCGATATCTACTTCATATTCTTGAAGAGCCTCATCTTTCTTTTGTCTTAGATTTTTGAGCTGCGACTGATATACATGCTCCAAGTGTTCGTGGCCATATCGCATATTTAACCTCTTCTTCAGTTGTTCGAAATCATCCGTCTCCTCTACGGCTATGATCTGGAGCACATCTAAGGCATCTCCTCGAAGAGCGATAGTCAGGTTTACAGCCTTTTCTTTTTCAGACCATCCATTCGCTCTTGCAGCTGATTCGAACTGTTTCATGTAGTTGTTCCATGATGATTTTCCGTCGAAAGTTGGGACTTTGACATGAACGGAACTTCCACTTCCTTCAAATTTCGGCCGTGTTTCCAACTTACATTTTGTCTCGTCTTCTTTTATCTCTACCGGATCTAAAGCTACCGTATTAATTGGTGGTAGCACTCTCGTGTTAGTTATCATGGTCTCTAACTGTTTGATTTTCTCTTCAACTTTATCAAATGTTTTAGAGACTTCTTCAAATTTCTTATTATTCTTTTTAGAAGTTTCTTCCATCATTTGAGAAACATTTTCAAATTTCTCGTCGAATCTTCTAGACACATTTTCGAGTTTCTCGTCGTTTTGTCTAGCTACTTCTTTAATAATTTGAGACGTTTCATGGAATCTTTCATCATTTTTTCTAGAACTCTCTTCGATCATTTGTGAGACATTCTCAAATTTTCCATCGATTATTTTAGTTAAAACGGCTTCTTCTGCTGACTGGAACTGGAATGTCTCTGGGTCGTCTCCATTCTTGTTGAGAACAGTCTTCAGTCGTTCTTGGAGGATCTTCTTGGACCCGCTGCAGTCTTCATCGCGTTCTTCTAGTTGCTCACGCAACTGTTTCACTGAAAGTTCTACTAGCAGCATCTTTGGTCAGGCACACACGTACTTTTTAAATGTTCTTTCGTACAACGATCACTACTGAACTACGCGGATGTTCTCGACGAACAATACCTTGCAAAAGTTCAAAAGTCTTTTTCAAAAATCAAATTAAATTTATCTACGATCCCACTTCTGCACCACTGTAGAGTTTATATAGTTCTAATTTATATGTCTTTATTCTAATTTATTGTCTATAATCTAATTTATTAAAACTCACGATAGCTAATTACTAATTTATTAAATAACTTTACAAATGTATTTATTTCACGTTTCGTTACATTTAAATATCGCGGTTCCCGAGCTTCTTATGACTGCCTGCCAAATAAAAATCTTTCATTTATATACACAACTGTTGTCATCTAGAGAATTCGGCGGACTTCTTGAATAATCTCGTATTTTGGTGAAGGCGCTCGACTCGTTTTTCAACCTCGAGACGTGGATGACTCACTAAAATTAGTGTCTAGAGATTTCTGTAAACAACTGGTAGCGAAGCTCAGGTATATTTTGACCTACAAATTACGAGAATCAATAAAAAAGAATTAGTCATAAAATATTTACAGTTCTATATGCCATAGCATTTAAAATCGCAACAGTATTATAATTTCAAAACTGCAAAATTCCTAATTTTTTAGCATTAATATTATTTTATTTAAGTTTCTATATTTGGTTAATGTAATATAGGCTGAAGAGCATGCAAAATCATAATTAAATGTTAATTTTTTTTAAAACTTGTGTCTTATCTCACCAATATTAGCACGAAAATAAACAAAATCGTCTTTATCTCGAAACTTACTTATTCTGACTTACTGCAGTCTTGCACTGATGGTGCGAATATGTTTGTGAAGATTCTTTAGGTTTTATTACCAGCTTATTTAAGCAGGTACACTGTTAAACTATCTATTCCAGCTGCTTTACTGCTTTTAATTTTTGCAATTGTCGGTTCTACTTCTTCCGAAAGGACTTCTGGTATATCATCTTGGTTACTGATTACTTTTTTAAGTATGTAAGTTGCTTTGTATATTTCGCTGTAGAATTTAGTAACAAATTGAATTATTTTATTTTCCTCTGTAATTCTGGTGTTTTCGTTTGTTCGAGCAACGTTTGTTTATTTTTTTATAGTTTTTCCTGTTTTCGATTGCATTTTCTACCAGTCTTTCATTGTATTTTCTTATGTCTTCCTTAATACTTTTCCTTATTGTCTTTGTATTATATTCTCTGTATGTTGCTGCTCAACTTGATATCCTTTATTTGTTTTAGCATTCTTTTAGTTTTTTCAGACAGTTTTTTAAGTTAATTTTGTTGTTGGGGGCCTCCGACATCTTTGGTACTATCAAGAATGATTTCCATTAATTGAGAGCTGTCGATTTGTTCATGTATTCTTTCATTAATTTTCCTTTGCTAGCGATCTGAGTTTTAGTTTTTCTAGGTTCTGATATAGAACAATTTTAGTCTGATTAGTCTATCTTAGGTCGGTGCCTGTTTGAAATTTATTTATTACACTGGCATATTTTATTGTTCCAATCTTGTTGGTTAGTATGAAGTCAATTTCATTCGTGGTGATTCCATTTCTTGCTACTCAAGTCCATTTTCTGTCTGACTTTTTCTTTATGAATTTATCGGCAATTGGCATGTTTTGGTAATGTGCAAACTGAATAAGTCGTTCTCCCCTCTTATTTCTACCACATACTCCATACTTTTTCACGACTTGTTCCTTATCGTTTCTTTTTTCCACTATTTAAGGCACCAATTAAATACTTGAAATGACTTTTATTATTATTCATTAGTTCATTTATGATACTGTAGAGCTCCTCTATTTCTTCGTCAATGTGAGTAATCTTTGGGATGTATATTTGTATAATTTGTATAGTGTATCTCTTTGATAGTTGTAAGGTTAAGCTAGCTACTCTATCTGAGGTACTAGTTAATTCTAGTTTCTTTTTCCAGTTCTGCAAGTCTGGATTGATTTGATAGCGAGCGACAAGTATATGTCACTATAAATATAACGTTTTTTTTTGAGTTTAAAAAATATCATGTTTTAAGAAATGTTTCTAATAAATGTTTCTCTTAAATTTTGCAACATAATTTTAAAAAAACTTATTTAAACAAAAAACAATTGAATTTTGTTGAATTATAAATAAGTTAAAATGACGACCAATTACAAATAAGACCAATGTCATGAATGCCAACTTACAATTTTTAACCCATTATTCAAGACACTTAAACATACAATATACTTAGAGAACAAACTTGTCTACAGAAAAAGTAGTAACAAACCTTTTTATTTAAAATTATCTTAGCTACATGTTCTGTGTTTTCAAACTTTGTTTTCTACGACGTATAAGCAGAATTAGGGGGAAGCCCAGGGCTAGGAGCAGCAAACATTTTTAGTGTCCCAAAATTGACATTTTCAGCAAAATTCGGCTTGTTCTTATATTTTTTAGAGGTTTAGTGGCGTTTTCGTCTGATGACGAGTATTATTAACACATTTAAAATACTATTGTAGTCAAGTTTGTTTATGTACAATGTCTAAACATAACAAGAGATACCTTCCTTTACACGAACTTAAGCATCTGGCTAAAAATCTTACCGAAATAAGTGATTGTGAATTTGATGACTCAGATGCCGATCCATTATACACTGATATTTCTGATAGCAGTGAATACTCTTTAGATTGTAAACCACAAACAAAACGGCAGAAAGTGGAAACATTTAAGGTAAGTTTATAGTTATGTATAAAAAATTTCAAATGTTATATCTAATTTTGAAATATTTTAGGATGATAATGTTAGAAGTCAACCTAGAATTCAAGATGAACAGTTAAATTTGCAAATAAGCGAAAGTGAATCAGAAATTAAAAATCAAAATAATATAGATATGGTAAATCCTCATATAGGGAATTTACAGACAAATGTTATATGGAACAATGTTGATGGAAATTTGAACACATTTGACGTTATACATGAAAATACTTCTTTTGGTACAGTTGTATAAAGTAGGGAAAATGATACACCTTTAACATTTTATAGACTACTCCTTACTTTACTTTATCGTGTTCGGACATGTCATTCATAAAATTTCGGCCCAGTATCGGGCTACGTCAGTTCCATCTTTGTTGGCGAGCCACAAATCTTCAAGGGTACATCGATGAGGACAGTTTCTGCATGTAAGAAGATGTTCCATATTTTGTGTTTCTTCACAGTCACAGTTCACATCATCTTGGTCTATTTTTCCCCATGTTGCCATGTTTGATTTTACTGTAGCAACCCCCGTTCTTATCCTATTCAAGGTTTTCCACGTTTTAAAGTCCAGGGTCTGGCCGTTCCATTGAACCTGGGGAAGTGGAAAATACTCAGACGGTTCATCCTGCACTGTTCCAAGGAAGCTTTTTGTAGATTTTAGTCGCTTTCGTGGTGTTCGAGCTTTGTATAGGACATACCGATTGTCCGCGATCTGTTTAATTTTCTCTATGTGTTCTGCAGCGCTTCTGCGTGTTGAGGGTTCTGCAAAACCCGCTGCTCTATATAGATTTGAAAGTGGCGTTGGTTTCATGCACCCCGTTACTATCCTGCATGTCTCATTTAGTGCAGTATCAACTTGTTTGGTGTGGGCAGATCTGCTCCAAACGGGGTACGCATATTCAGCAGTTGAGAAACACAGTGCCTGTGCCGTTGTTCTTAAAACGCCAGGACGTGCGCCCCATTTACTTCGAGTATTTTACCCGTTAGCTTTCTGAGTATGCTGTTCCTAGTTGTTACTTTCCCTCTTGTTTTTATGCAATGTTGTCTGTAGGTGAGGGACCGGTCAAGAGTTACTCCAAGATATATAGGTTGGTTTGTGTGTTCTAATGTATTACCATTCCACACAATTTGGAGTTTTCGCTTGGCTTACTTTGTGCGAAGGTGGAAAGCGCAGACTTGGGTTTTAGAGGGAGAGTTCTGCAGGTAGTACGCTGTCATTTTTTTTTAAGGCAGTTTCGAGTTTCTCCTCCACTTCTTCAAAACTATCTCCTTGAGCACATATTGCAAAATCGTCAGTATAGAGGAAGTTCTTGGTTTCGATCAGAGTAGGTTGGTCGTTTGTGTATATATTGAAGAGCATTGGTGCTAAAACACTTCCCTGTGGGAGGCCGTTTTTTTGAACTCTCCACCTACGTACTTTATCCTCCAGCATAACGAAAAAACGTCTATTTTGCAGTGAAGAATATACGACCTTTCCCAGATGGTGGTCATTGAGAGTGTCATATAATTTGCGGAGCAATGTTTTGTGCCTTACTGTGTCATAGGCTGCTGTCAGATCTACAAAAACAGCCCCTGTTATAAGTTTTTTTTAAAGCCCTCTTCAATGTGTTCTGGTAATGCGAGGACTTGACCTGTGCAAGATTTGCCAGGTCTGAATCCTCCTTGTTGTGGGATGAGGTGCTTGTCGACATTTTTTTCTATTCTGGCGAGTATGAGTCTATCGTATAGTTTAAAAAAGTGACACAATAGCCAAATAGGTCTGTAGCTACTGGAGTCTTCTGGATCCTTTCCTGGTTTTAACAAGGCTATTACCTTAGATTTTCTCCATGATTTTGGAATTTTGCAGGTTTTGCAGTATGTGTTATAAAATTGCAAGATCCAGTTTTTTGCTCCTTGACCTAAATGCTTTATTTGTTCACTGCATATATCATCCACACCTGCAGCTTTCCCGTTTTTTTAACCTGTTCAGACCGTCGTGGAGTTCTTTTAGTGTAAAAGGAGTTCCTAGATGGTTTGTCTCCGAATCCAATCTTCTCCTAGTGTTTCGGTCCTTATATCGGTTAGTAGTTCTTTCATTCGTAAGGAGTTGAGTAGCGACTTGGTTTGCTGTAACCTTGAAGGGTGGTTTAGGTTATTTTGGATCACCGCTGAGACTACTCCTAACAGACGAGATACTCGATATTTTAGTGCAGGAAACAAATCGATATGCCGAACAAAAAATTATTGATGCTATAAATCGTGAAAACGTTAAGACAAATTCATATCTCACTAACTGGAATGATGATACTAACAGAGAATGAATATTAAACTTTTTGGGAATTTTGATATGGATGGGTTTGAATAAAAAAACCACGACTACGAGATTACTGGACCACTAATTGTATCCATTATTGCTGAATATACAAGACGACGAACATCAAAAGTCGAGGTGTAGATTTAAGGCTTTTCTTGTTTGCTTCCATTTTTCAGATAATGAAGCTTGTTTTAAAGGAAGCAGATTGTTCAAAGTTGAACCATTGTTGCAGGCGTTCAATAGAAGTTGTCAATCTGCTTTGGTACCAGGCCAATACATACCTGACAAACGTAATAAATATGGAGTAAAAGTTTTCAAACTCTGCGGAAAAGGCGGCTACATAATTATCACGCAAAAATGTATGGCGGAAAGCAAAAACGACCAAAGGAACAATCACTAGCATTCCTAGTGGTCATGGGATTATGCAACGTTTTCTACACTCAGGAAGAACTTTGGAAGAACACCTAATTGGAACACTTCGTAAAAATGGGAAATTCAATCCTAAGTCAGTGTTTGAAGCACAGCTAAATAAAGAAGATGATTGCGCTACAGAGCAACATAAAAGTAATTGTAGGAAAATGGATCGACAAAAGGGAGGTTGCATTTTTGACTACAAAATCTTGTCCAGAAATGGTCGATGTTCGTACAAAATAAGGAATAAAAAGAAAACCGTCTACAATAGTAGAATGCAATTCTGTTAAATCTTACATTGACGTCTCTGATCAAAAAGCTTCCTACAGTAATCCCATCAGACGTTCTATAAAATGGCATCGGAAAGTGGGAGTGGAGTTATTGACAAATACAGCCGTAGTGAATACTTTAATTCTGTACAACAAAGCTTTGAACAAAAAAATGGATGTAACACAATTTCGCAAAGAATAAGTGACTGCCATTTGCAAAGACAATAACGTTACAAACCCTCAACAAACACACTATAGACTGGAAGAACATGACAAAAGAAGACGATGTGTTATATGTTACACCACAATGGCAAAATTCTTTTGTCGCGCACAGTCATCTAAGAATTCCAAACAGTGCAACACTAGGTGTACTGGCACTGAATGTAAAGAAAAAAAAAATATAAGAAACATTTCTTTTTTTAAAACACTTAATGTATATTCAAAATAATTTGTTTAAAAGTTTGCTTATGTTTTTTTGTAATAAAGTTTCATAAATAATGTGTATCAATTTCAATACATATAGGCTATGGCTATAACATTATGAAAAGTCGTCTAGGTGAACTGCGTGTACCAAAAATAAACACAACCTACAAAGCCCTTTTTAAATAAAAAAATGTCATTATATGAATTAACTCATACATATAGAGCATTTTATTAAAGAATATGAAAAAAAAAGTGGTCAGGCCCTGACAACTTATGCGGATAAATAGGCCCAGGAGTTAAAGTTTTAAGTATTTAACTCTCTAAATCAATAAAATTTAAACCGATAACACAAAATATTTCTTCACTTTTTTCAGTTGTAGCAAAATTTGTTATTTTAGGTAATTTTAGAATAATATCCTGTTTCTAAATTTCGTTATCCGTATCCGCAAATCTAAATCGTATCTGCAAAAATGAAATTGGAATTGAAAAATATAATTTAATGTTAATTTCCGCACTTTTTAGATAGACTTTGCACATTTTAAATTGTTTGTGGAACTACACTGAACTTAAATCAAATCAAGTTTATCTTTGCTAATAAAAGAAAGATTTTTTTTTGGTTCAAATATTTTTCATTAGAATGTATTTTTAAAGTTTTGTTTATATCTTATAAATAGTTTTTCTATTATATTAATAATATTTCTTTTAGCGTTAAAATAACCTTTGTTTTTTAGTTTTTTAGGATATGCTTTATGGATCCAAAGGCATCATTCATAAAAATGATAATAAATGAAGGTTTCCAGTTTAAACAAATTTAAAATATAACATTTTACATCGTTATGTACAAATTTTTGTTTTAAACTGTAAACAATAGGTTTAATTGTTGACATCACTTTTTCACAGTTTTCAAACATTTAAAGCAAAATTTTAATTTTAAGTTTTCGAAACCACATTATTAACTCTTACATTAGTAGTAATATTTAAATATAGTTTTTGTAATAAATAAATTAGATGTTCTGTAGTAACCATTTCTCTAAGTATGTGCCACATTTTATCCCATTTTATGGTATTTGGAATAGTCAAAAAAGCATAAACATGTTTCTATTTTAAATTGTTGAGATTTTTCGATAATTTGGCGAATATTAAGAATATGTTCTCTTGTTTCTCTACCTGGGACGAATCCGCATTGTTCTTGGGTAATTTGTGGTAATAGAATTAATTTTATTCTGTCACTGATGATGGTTAGAAGTACTTTGCTCGCGTGTTGTATCAATGCTACTATGCGCTAATTACTGCAATCTGTCGGTGAACCTTTTTTATACATGGAAATAAACGTGAGTTTACCCCAGTCATTTGGCCACTTTCCGGTATTTCAAATCTCATTGCAAATTCTAAGCATTACTTTCGTCCCTAATTCTCTCATTTCTTTGAGTGTTTCAACTGTTATTCCATCCTTTCCTTCTGCTTTTCTGGATTTTAGCTTTTTAATTGCTGTTTAATTTTTTTATTTTAATATTTCAGGTTTTTTTTTCATAACTTCTTTTTTCTGTATTATTGTCTGGGTCGTTGTTAGAGAATAGTAT